AAGGATATTAAGGACCTAAAAATAGTTAAAGGTTAGTAGAGATACCTAGTTAAATAGAAAGGATAGCTAGAATAGTATAATATATAGGAGCTAATAAGAAACCTTATAAACTATAAGGAATTACTAGAGGACTTCTATTAGGGAAGGGGACACCCTTAGAGAGATTATACGCTAGTATAGTAGGAACTAGGTTAGAAAAAGTAGTAGTAAAAGCTAAAAGATTAAAAGAAGGGTTAGCCTATAGCTAGGTAGGATTAGTAAATAAAGGTAAAAATAGTAATAGTATATAAGTACTACTAGAAGCCCTACCCTCTACTAAGCCCTTCTCTTATAACTAATCTATCGCGTTAGTAACCTAGAGATTATAATAAGTAAAGGAATATTTCTTTACCTTAACCTTAGCCAACTCTAGTTTAAGGTAGGTAGTTTTAGTATATACCTAAAGAAGAGCTAACTACTTCTACTCCTTCTCTTTATAAACTAAGGTCTAATCGTCCTTAGGGACCTATAAGCTATAATTAGTATAAGCTAAGATATAACTAGTATATTAACCTAAGGTTATATCTATAAAATAGTAGAGTTTTAACTTCTAATAATACTTATAACTAAGTAACATCTTAAAGCTTTAGGATTTAACTTTTAGCGTATAAGTATAATATTTCTAAACTAATAAGCAAGGAGCTTTAGGTATATTTAGGATAGAAAGGGAAATCTAGGTTAGGGTATAACCTAAGTAGGTAAGAAGGCTAGCGCACCTTTATACGTCTAATAGGCGCTAATAGGCTAGCTATGCCATAGGAAGCTAGACTAGGGTATTAGAATAATACTCTTAAGGGGGGGGATAATATTATAATTATAGTAGAACTAAGTAAGGCGAGTAGGGAGGATTATACTTAGAATATTAATAGTAGAGGTAAGCTAGATTAAGCCCTATAAGCTAGCTAGATAGGTAGCTTATATTATCTGTTACATAATAAGGTCTAGTATAAGTAGGAGACCCTAGGGACCTTAAAGGCCCTAGGGACCTTAGGAGGTCCTAGGACTTTAGAGTCTAGGTAGAATCTCCTAGATAATAAAAAATAGTATATAGTCTAAAGGGACTTTAGAGTCTTTCCTATTCTTTATAGTTAAATTCTATAGTTAAAATTAGAGTATATCTTCTACACTAAGATCTATTAGTCTTCTTATATAATTATTACCTTACCTTTTATAGTAAGGCTAGGATATTCTCTTACCCTACTATTATCTATCTACTCTCGTCCACTAAATACCTATAAGATCTAACCTAGGTTAGGTACGTAAAAACCCCTTATAATAATCTATTAGCTCTCTAAGCACCTTAATTAGCCTTTCTAGTAGCTATAGGAGACTAACCGTCTTTAGATCCTTAATATAGAAGTGTTAAAAGTGCTTAATAATTATAATATAGGCCTTTCTTAGTATGGTATACTATTAGTAGAGATAGACATTAAGATTCTATACACTAGTCTTATAGCGCTTATAGATTAGGACCCTATACTTATGTAGATACTAAAAATACTCCTTAATATTCTTAATAGACTAGTCTACTGCCTTCTAAGCGCCTTTACTAGTAGTTAGCTATAGGTGCTATAGCGCTAGCTATTAGTTATTTTAAATATTACTAGTTTATATGTCCTAGGTAAGTTCTATAACCCTAAGTCTATTTACCCTAACCACTACGTAACCCTATATATGTCTAATTAGGGATGTAAAGCGATAAAATTATATAGAAAGATAAGAGGAACACTTTTAGTATAGGAAGGTTAAAGGGATTTACGCTAGATTATATATAGATTTACTATATAGTTTTACCCCCTAAATTTCCATTCCTAGACCCTTAAACTCTAACGTTAAACCTAATTTAGTATAGATTAGGCTAGATCCGTTACTACTTATTAGTTAGGTCTAGGTAAAAAGATATTAAGGCTAGAAATTCTCTAAGTTTAGTCTAAGTACTATTAAACTTCTCTAGATCTATAAGTTTTAGTAGTCTATTCCTTATTTAGAGTTCTATCTACTAGATCTATTTTTTTATTATATTATTAGCTTCTCCCCCTATTCCTTCTAATATAACTCTAACCTACTTAACTAATTACTTATAGGCTTCCTTAGCCCTAGTATTTTCTTTATTAAAGTAGTTAAGTTATTCCTTTATCTAGACTAGGTCTATTAGGTCTAATAATATTAGTTAGTTTACTATAAAAGCTATTATTAATACTAGTAATCTAGGTATATACCTATAGAGACTTTTAAGATATAATTATTAAAGTATAATAGGGCCTCTAGGACTCTATTACTAGCCGTGGCCCTATTAGGGTTCTAGTAAGAGATAAGTAGCGTATAGGGTTATATTAATTACGTAGGGTATAAATATTAATTAATTACTACTATAAGAATATATTACTAAAGACTTAATAGTAATCTTCTATAAGAAAACTAGATATAGAGAACTATTATAATAGGGCCTCTAGGACTTTATTACTAGTTATGGCCCTATTAGGGTTCTAGTAAGAAATAAGTAGCGTATAGGGTAGTATAGATTATATATATTATAAATATTAATTAATTACTACTATAAGAATATATTACTAAAGACTTAATAGTAATCTTCTATAAGGAAACTAGATATAGAGAACTATATTATAAATTAATAATAAAGGCTTACCTAGTAGTAATCTATTATCTCTATATACTACTATCTAATAATGGCTCTATAGGCTTTACCTATAGATTCTATAAATCTAGGCTCTATAGCTTTATTCTATAGATCTATAGATCTAATTACGTAACTTCCTTACGTGCCTATATTATACTTAGTATCTAACCTATAATTATATTCTTTTCCTATATAATCTAATTAGTTACTACTATTATTAATATAAGTCCTATAATTCTATTATAGCGTAGCAGCTGTAATAACTATATTATAGATTAATAATAAAGGCTTACCTAGTAGTAATCTATTATCTCTATATACTACTATCTAATAGTGGCTCTATAGGCTCTACCTATAGATTCTATAGATTTAGGCTCTATAGCTCTATTCTATAGATCTATAGATCTAATTACGTAACTTCCTTACGTGCCTATATTATACTTAGTATCTAACCTATAATTATATTCTTTTCCTATATAATCTAATTAGTTACTACTATTATTAATATAAGTCCTATAATTCTATTATAGCGTAGCAGCTGTAATAACTATATTATAGATTAATAATAAAGGCTTACCTAGTAGTAATCTATTATCTCTATATACTACTATCTAATAGTGGCTCTATAGGCTCTACCTATAGATTCTATAGATTTAGGCTCTATAGCTCTATTCTATAGATCTATAGATTTAATTACGTAACTTTCTTATATACCTATATTATACTTAGTATCTAACCTATAATTATATTCTTCTTCTATATAATTTAATTAGTTACTACTATTATCTTTATAAGTCCTATAATTCTATTACGGCGTAGTAGCCGTAATAAAGAATATATTTAAACTAGTACTATATATATTTCTTAGTCTTTTTTTAGCTTAGTATTTTTATTAGGTATTATCTAGCCCCTAGTAGTAATAAGACTAATATTTATAAAGATAGATAGGTAGTAAGTAAAATAAAATAGCTAATCTAATAAAATATAAAAGGTATTATTATAATAGAAATATTAGTCTCTTCCCTATACTACCTAGTTCTACACATAATAGTAGAATAATTAGGTAATATATATATTTAGAATAAACTATTATAATCTAACTAGTTAGATAAATATTATTATTATATATTATTATTATATAAGAAACACTATTCTAAGATTAGAATTTAAACCTAAATTTTAGTCTTTCTAAATAATACTAAAAGCCTACTATAAGCACTACTAGAGGCTTAAAAGGTTAAGGGGGTTTACCTCTTAAAATAAATATATAATATTTCTATTTCTCTTTTACGCTTCTATTTATCCCCCTTTTAATATATTTATATACTTACCCTTATAACTTCCCTATAAGACTAACCTATCTATATAGTAGTAAGTTAATTTATACCTCTAGTAACTTACTCTAGTATATATTAGTAATAACCTCGTCTATATAGATAATAATATTACTTATAGTATAGTTTATATATTTAACCTTATATAGATATTAACTTAGAAAAGTATATAAGCTTTATACTATAACCTCTCTATTAGTAAGTACTTTTCTCTAAAAAATCTCTCTACTATCTTCTCTATTAATAAGCTCTCCCTATATAACTCTCTACTATCTCTACTATCTTTTCGGCGTTAAGAAGCTCTCCCTAATAATACCTAAGTAAATTTATTTTAAGGTATTCTCTAATTCTCTATCTAATATTACCTAGGTAAATAGCTTTCTCTTAGGAGCCTCTAGTAATATCTTTTAACTATATAGAAGGTTCTATACCCTTATATTATACTTAATTAGGTAATTTACTACTCTATTTACTACTTTAGTAAGTATATAGGCTAAGTGTTTTAGGCACGTAAGTTATAGAGAATAGGCTAAAGGGTCTCTAGATAGCTCTAATAGATACATATACTACTTTATTGCGTGTTAGTACTAGCGTTTTAATGGCGCCACGATAGGTGCATAATACTTCTCTCATACATTCCGAGGCGGAAATGTCCACAGCTAGTACGGATGGCTTCGCACGAACATTGTCTACCTAACCACGAGGATGCACCCATGCCCTAGAACATGTCTCGGTGTCTCATTCTAGTGGTGTAGGGCTTGGATCTTGCGTGGCCGAAGCCCCATTCGTCATTTGCTCCATGCTATCCTACAAGCCACCAACGCCAAGTTGGCGGTCAGTGAATGAATCAATGAACATTAATGATATACCAAGCTATCAACAAAAGCCTATCTGCGGTCCCATTCCTTCAATCTTTGGGTGTATTCTCTTAGCCAGACCGAACAATGTGAACATCTAAGGTGTCAAAAAAGCTGCCAAAGCCCAGCCTATTATCTGCTCCTATTATGGCTCCTCAGCGTCCTTCCCAACGGAAACACTGCGCCATGCCCCACGCTCGCGCTCAGATTCGGCATCATCAGGTTTTCCCTATCCGCTAGCATCGCACTGCTGGGCACCATGGTGCTGCGCGGCCCGCGCTTCTTAGGCGGAATCTTGCTCTCCTCTGAAGCGCTGATTACGGCGGGCCGCTTGAGCGAGGGAAAGGGTGCGAGCGCGTTGCTGCTAGCGTTATCTTTCTCCGAGAGCACGCTGTCTTTTATGCTAGTGATGTTGCTCTTTGTCGTGGTGTTGTTCATTGTGTTGATATCCAGCTCGCGGAGACTCGTGGCATTATTAACCGTGCCTGCCCTAACGACACTACCGTTCTCCATCTGCTGCCTAGAGACGTCATAGTTATCCGCAAACATGGGCGTCTTGCTAGGATTTCTAGGCCTTGAAGACGATGAAGGCTCATCCCCCCACGTGCCCTGTGCGCATCAGCTCCATCAGCGTGTCACGGTCGCTCGTATGCGGTACGGCTGTCGGATAGCTGTACTCTCTGCGCGTTGGTGTCTGTCCTGTACGGATGTATTTCTCAAGCTTATTGTGCTCGACACGCTGCCTCAACTCTGCCAGCTGTCTGCGGATATGCGCATCCTTGTCAAGGTGCAGCAGGTTCTCGCGTAACCCATCCGTCTGTTCCGCGACATAGTTACCAAGACCTTCGACGCGGTCAAATGACGCAGTAAAGGCACCACCGATGTTGGCATACGAGTCCTGAACCGTTGAGGTGAGGGCGGAGAAGGACCGCCTCTGGGCGGCGTGTGCGGTGTTGTTCTTCTCCTGGATGCTGTCGACAATGGTGGTGAGGGCGCGCATCTCCGTGTCTAGGTGCTGGACGTGCTCTTTCACCATCCGCGCGGTCTCGTCGGGGACGGAAGAACTCACGGCCCTGAGGTTTTCCGTGTGCTTGCTCGCGGTCTGATTTGCGTTAGTTCAGCTCGTACTGTCTGTTCATGAGTGGTGGACTTACCGCGTGATCGCCCTGGATGCGTGTGTTCATCGTGTCGTGGGATTTAATCAATCTGGAGCTGAAGTTCCTTAACCGTTCCGCAAGCTGCTCGCTGCCATCTTCGAACGAGGCTCCAGCAGCAGAATGACTCTGTCCAGCAGACCTGAGCTGTGCGGAGATCTTAGCGATCACTCCAATACGCAGCGCTTGCTGCTGCGCGTTAGCCTCGACCAGTTTCTCAATGCGCTGCATTAGATCCTTGTTTTCCTGCTCTCTGACAGTTCTCTCCTTGTCTACGAGATCTGATAGCGTGTCAACCGATTGCGATTGACTCCGTTCTAGCTGTTGGTTCGCCTCGGCCATTTCGTCCTGTAACCGCTGCATCTCTTCGCGCTGCTCACTGATCTCTTTCGACATGTCGTCAAAGGTCGTCTTCAAGTCCATGCTAAGATTGAAGTAAGATAAGTGCAGCTGCGTGTGGAGGGTCTCGACTTCCGCCATGATACCCTCTGATATACGTCTCGTAGCTACGCTTAGGTCATTGAGTCCTGCCCCAACCTTTTCCTCGAGCGCTTCCCTAAGCATCTTGACCTCGTCCAGCACCTGATTCATCTCGTTCTTGCTCTGCGTCGTCTGTCCTGTAACTTCTCTGTGTGATCGCTCGAACGCTGTACTTTTCTTCTCGAGATCCGTTCTCGCCGTATTGAGTTCTTCCAGCTCGTGCTTGACGAATGCCTGCATACGCCCTGAAAGCGCCTCCACGAGCCCTTGCTGCTCCGTCTGGAGCTCGGCAAGCCGGCCCTCAACAAGCGTCGTGACGTCCACCACATTTCGCTGCGTTACGCCATACTGCTCCTGGTTCTGCGCGTGCAGCTCCAATCGCCGTCGTAGTCCCAAGTGTAGACTTGTGTTGTCCGTAGTGGACTGGCCGAGCGTTGTCACCAGCTCGCGATTGAGGCTCGTGAGCTGCTCTTCGGTGCGCTCGTGCTGCTGGCGGACGAAAGTCTCCTCGTTGAGCATGCGCCTCGTATGCGCTAGCGCCGCTTTTGTCTTTTCCAGCGATGACTTTGTGCTGTCGAGAAGGCCTTTGGTAGTTTCGCTGTCCTTCTTCAAGGTGTCGAAATTGCTTGTGATTTCGAGCAGGTCCTGTCCTTTGCGGGCAAGTTTGCATTCGATCGTTTCAATCTTCTCGCGTTGCTCCTTGACTAGAATACTATGTGACTCGGATTCATTTATGAGCTCCTCGTATGCTTCATGTGTAAGGTATACGCCATTCCGCTGTCGCGTAGCGGTGAGCTCTGACTTGAGTCTCTCTATCTCAACAGTGAATTCTTTGAGGAGCGTCTTTTTCGAAATTAATTTGTTGATCTGCGGCTTGTTTCTGATGTTCTTCGCGCGGAAGGCGTAGTCTAGGGACGAAATAGTCTCCTCCAGATTTAATCTCGTAGGAGAGATCGTGACGATGATGCATGTCTTCGTTCGGCCGCCCAAAGAATCTTGCAAAAGCCGTGTGAGTTTTGACTCGCGGTACGGGATATGTGCTAATCGATCGACAAGCCCGTTGATTACGCGGCCTAATGTGAGGAGACTCCTGTTGATGAGCCCAGCTTCCGCCGCTCGCTTGTTCTCCGCACCAGAGCGTCCAATGTTTTCCGATCCAGCGAGATCAACTAGGTTCAGCTTTCCAGAGCATACAAGTTCTTTGCCGGAGGCTAACGTTCGTTTGGTGTACACTGTGACGGTGAAGACTGTGTGACTGCGGGAGCTGACATCGTTGCATTTCGTCGCCGCGACCTGTCGCTTGTGGCTACCGTTTCTTAGTAGCTGAATGGCTTTCTTCGCGCTGGGGATATGTCGTTCTTCCATGCCCTGAACAACAGTTGCAGCTCCACGCTTGCTATCTCCATCGAAAATCTTCAAGTTGGATTTATCCTCGGCGGAAAGCAGGTCGCGAAGTTCTTCGTTGTATAGCTCGATGAATGATACTTTCACAGAGTTCTCGGGGGCAGCGCCGCTGGTTGGTGAGTTTGGTAGGGAGCCAAGCTTGAGAAAGAGGGAGTGCAATACGCGAGGAATGATACCAGCATCGTCGGGTAGTAGAGTGTGATCTGAAATATCTCCAGACATGGTGTATGTCTTTCCAGTACCGGTTTGTCCGTATGCAAAAATTGTGCAGTTGAAACCTTTTAGTACCTGCATTGAAGTTAGCCTATCTTCAAATGTTTCCTACTCTAACGCGATCATGTCTTTGACTTCTTACCTCGTCTAATATAGGCGTTACGACTTCATCAAAGATCATCTGCTGATCTGCCGTTGGTGAAAAAACTCTGTCAAATGAATACGTCTTGTTGCTGAGGGCATTCGGCCCCATGGACAACTCCACCGTCCTGCCTTTCACCCCATGCGTGTTTACCACTACGCCGCTATTCTCTCGCACCTCTCGCTCGTTCCTGCCGCGACACCGCACAAACACGTCAATCTTCGTTTCATCACCCGAGTCACGGTGGTTCATCCTCGGTGTCGTTGTCGATGCCGCGTCGTCAGAGTCCGGCTCCTCGCGTTTCGTGCCAACCCCAGAGGCAGTCGAGGGGAAGGAATCGGCGGGGGATGCGCGTCCATTGTTCATGAGCGAGGGTGTCATTGAGGTAGCGCGAAGCGAAACGGCAGCGGCTGTTCGACGGGTCGGCAGCGGGGGCATCGCGTTGCGCGAGCGCGAGCTCGCGGTAGAGAAGTCTCTCATCCCCAAGCGACTGTTGCATGGTAGTCTTGGGATATGTCGAAAGACTAGAAGTGGGTCTTGCGGGGTGGTATAGAAAAAGATATGTGTGTGACAAGGTGTGAGTGTATAGTGAGAACAGCTATGGGTGGTGTTGATGGCGGCAAGGGGAAGTAAACAGAAAACAAACCAGGGCTGGTCCGTGCTCCCAACGATTGCATGCACAAACCCTGACGGGGATTAGCCAAACCACTTAGCTCTGGTCGACTGAGCTGCATCCTCCTGTATACTTATCTCACACTATCAGACCTACCCTCCCCTAGGTGCGGAAGCGGAATGTCCATAAGACGTAGGCTATATTACTAAAAATTAATACGCCTTTTATATCATAATATTCATTCTAAATTATTCTTAAAATAAAGATATTAATTAACTCCTTAACATAATATATTTAGAAATTAAGTAACATTAGTATATTTATTATAAGACGAAAATAATAGTAGGTAATAGGTTAAAGTAGAGTAACTAGGGAGCCTATACCTTATAGATATTTCGCTTTTTTCGTGCCTAGAGAGCCCTAAATGTGGCTAGAACCACGTAATTATAGTATAGATAGCGGTTTTACTAAATTTACTTAACTATACTACTAGGTGCTAATAAGATATTATATAACTAATAGTTAATAAGTAATAGTTAACTATTAAACATATAACTAATAGTTAATAAATAATAGTTAATAAGTAATAGTTAACTATTACTTAACTAAGTATATAGAAATATAAAAATAAGTTCTTATACTTATATTTAATCTATTTCTTAATTTATTATTTAGATTTACTTAGACCTCTCTTATTAACTTATTATACTTTATAAAATACTTTTATATTAATAAGAACTCTTTCTCCTCCCTCTATAAGTCTTACCTAAAAACTAATCTTAACCTATTTAGAATTAACTACCCTTTCTAGATTTATATTACGAACCAGATAATAGTAGAGAAGTTTAGGCGCTTATAAAGGTAGAAAATATAATAACTAGGATTATAATAAGATAAGGATATACTAAGTTACTTAGATAGTAGTTACGTAACTTACTTAGCTACTTAGGGTTTCTAAATAACTAAGTAGCTAAGAGTTATTACGTAGCCTACTTAGTTATTTAGGGCTCCTAAGTAACTAAGTAAGATCCCTATATAGGAATATAAGGATAAACTTTTATACTTATATTTAACCTAAGTTTTAATCTATTATTTAGATTTACTTAGGCCTCCCTTATTAACTTATTACACTTTATAAGATACTTCTATATTAATAAGAACCTCTTCTTCCTTCCCTTAGTAAGTCTTACCTAAGAACTAATCTTAACCTATTTAGGACTAGCTACCCTTTCTAGATTTAATATTTTAAACACCCTTAATATAACTATAAGGACTCCTACTTCTTCTATAGCTTTAGATAATAATACTATTACTCTAATAGGTAACTCTAAGAGTAAAGCATATAAACCTAATTTATATTATAGTAATAGAAAGTATACTAATATCTAGCTTCTTTAGTTAGACCTCTACTTCTTTAAACTTAATAAATAACCTAAAGATAAACAAAAGGTTATTTTTATAGCCACTTATATATAAGGTAATACTAGAGAATAGATTTAACCCTATATAACTAAGTATCTAGAAATAGACTATAATAATAAAGATAAGAAATATATAGATAACTATATAGACGTAGTTAATATTATTAAAGACTATACTAATTTTAAGAAATACTTTAAATAGATATTTAAAATTACTAATAAGGTACCTATTATAGCATAAAACATTTAAACTATAATATAATAATAATTAGTAGCTAAGTATATAGTAGAGTTTTATAAGAATACTATATAACTTAACTAGGATAATAAGTTACTAATAATAATATATAAATAAGGTCTTAAGAAACCTTTATAAGAAGAACTTCTATATAGTAGGGAATTATTAGAACCCTTAATAAATTATATAATAAATTAATTAGGATTAATAGAGAATAGTTCGCACTATAATAGAAATTTTAACGCAATCTAAGAAATATTAGTTTTAGATAACTAGTACCTATAGTCTATAGGGTACTACTAAAAGGACCTTAACGCTAATTATAAGACTCCTATAGATACTAGCTAATAGAAGATATCTAGTTTAACTACTTAGGTAAAGAAAAAGGAAAAGAACTAGGCTTTTATAAGCCTAATATATATATCTTAGATAGAACCTAATACTAGAGAACTAAGACTTATATATATTTTATATATAGTAAACTAGGCCACATTACTAGAAACTATAAATCTAAGAATAAGGTTATTAGGTAGTTAAATGTACTTACTATCCTAATAAAGGAAATTAAGGATAAAGAATAGACTATTATAAATACTATTAATAACCTTATACTTAATAATAAATCTAGATTAGAGTTATTAACTAATTTATAACTTTATAAGGATATAGAAGAAGAATAATCTAAAATAATAAATAAGGAAGTTAAGTAGACACTAACACCTTACCTATAGTTTAAAGGTAAAAAAAGTAATCTTTACTAATAGAGTAAATATATAGGAATACTTAGATAAACTACTAATCTAACTATAAAATAGAGATATATTATTATTATCTATAATAATCTTACTATTATTCCCTATACTACTAGAAGCTTATAATAAACGCCAACTAGAAATTATTATAAAAGAGGATAGATAATAGGTAGATTATAAATATATATAATAAGACCCTAGTAAATACTTTTATAATAAAAACCTAGACTATTTATAAAAGTACTACCTAGACTACTAAAACCCGTAGTACTTAAATATCTAATAGATTAAATATAAATATAACTAGTACCTAACCTACTATAGAGCTAAGGAGCTATATAGAGGTAATTAACTACTAAATAAATAATAATACTATTAGGAATAGTATAATTACCTAATTAATAAATGTAATAAACATCTATAGGATAAGTAAGAAAGGCTATACTTCCTAAGTATAAATAATATATAAAATATAGTAACTAGTACACTCTATAATAGGATATATACTTAAGATAGATAGTAAACTTACTTAAATACTAATTATAGTAGATACTAGGATAATAAATATATCTATAAATTTAGTAAGAACCCTAACTAACTAAGAATAATTATTAATATTTATATAGAAATAAATATAGTATAGAAAGGTAAAGCTTCTAAAAAGAAACTATAGTAGAAGGATAACTATAGTAGAAGAAAAGAAGGGTAGAAATAGAAAGAATAATAATAAGGAAATATAGACTATCTAGCTCTTAAGAGAAATAGTTCTTTTTTTAGACTAAATCCTAGCCTATAAGGCCTAAGAAACCCTTAAAAACTAATAGATAGGTAGGAAGATACTGTTAGAGAATTAAATGCTATTAATAGTAAGGTATTAATTAAGCTACTAGTTTAGCTTAATAAAACATAGATTAAGGTACTATTAGATTTAGGTATATTAGAAAACTTTATATTCTAAGAAGTAGCACTATAAGTAGGACTCTAGCTAATACTTAAGGATAAAGCTTATCCTATCTATATTATAAATAGAAGCTAAATACCAAATACACTATATATTACTTATAAAGTTACTACTATACTTTAGATCTATAAATATAGAGAGATAATTATACTTAATATACTAGATAGATCTAGATATAATATTATATTAGGATTACCCTAGTTAAGGAAGTATAACCTATATATTAACTAGAGTTTAAGAACGCTATTCTTAGAACGCTATAAATATATATTATAAGCTAAGCCTATATAATAATAGAGATTAATAGTAGATAAGAGTATTATTAATAATATAAACTTATAATAGAAAGTTAAAAAATAGAAATTACCCTTAGTAGACGCTAGTAGGAACTACTAGGTTATAAAGCATAAGAAGAAGGAAGAAAGTATACCCTTAGAAGTACCTAGAGAGTATAAAGTATAGATATATATATTTATAAAGAAGGAAGAAAAGGTAAACCTACTAGAATATTAACCCTAGAATTATATAATTAACCTAGAAGAAGGGAAGACGCCACCCTTTAGACTACTATATAGTAAAATAGGAGAAGAATATTAAATCTAGAGAGGGTAGCTAGTTCTAAATAGGTTAAGGTTAGTTCTTAGGTAAGACTTACTAAGAGGAGGAAGAAGGGGTTCTTATTAATATAGAAATATCTTACGAAGTATAATAAGTTAATAAGGGAGGCCTAAGTAAATCTAAATAATAGATTAAAACTTAGGTTAAATATAAGTATAAAGGTTCATCCTTATATTCCTATATAGGGATCTTACTTAGTTACTTAGGAGCCCTAAATAACTAAGTAGGTTACGTAATAACTCTTAGCTACTTAGTTATTTAGGAACCCTAAGTAGCTAAGTAAGTTATATAACTACTATCTAAGTAACTTAGTATATCCTTATCTTATTATAATCCTAGTTATTATATCTTCTACTTTTATAAGCGCCTAAACTTCCCTACTATTATCTAGTTCGTAATATTATCCCTCCCCTTCTTATTCTTTACCCTAAAGAATTATGCCTACTAACTATTATTCTATAAAGCGTTACTATAACCTTATTTTTACTATTAAAAACTATAGTATTATTATAGTGTTAAAATATTTATTCTATTAGTTATACGCCCATATTTATAAGGTCTATATTAGTTTAGGAAAGTGTAGTAAGTGTTAGAAGTAAGGTTTAAAGTATAATATTACTATTACTTAGAATAAGTTCTTATAGTTAGTTACTAAGAAGAAGAAGTTAGAAGCGTAATTAGATAAAGTATAAAAGGAGTAGAATACTACTTTTAAAGCTATATATATAGCTTAAGTAAAAGAGGATTAGTTAAAGAAGTAGTTATTATAGAATAAGAAGCGTACTAGTAAAGTTATTATAGTAGAAAGCATAGTATTAGTAGAGTTAAATAAAGA